ATAAAATTTGCAGGTAAATGGTAGGATCTAGAAAAGAGCATCTTGAGTGAGGTATTCTAGTAACAGAGAGACATACATGGTATATACTCACTTATAAGTAGATATTATACATACAATACAGATAAACATACTAAAATCTATATACCTAAAGAAGCTAAGCAAGAAGGAGGATCCTTGGTAATATGCTCAATTTTCATTCAGAAAGGCAAATGGGGATAGACTTCAGAAGAAGGTGAAAACAGGGAACAGGACAGGAGCCTATCACAGAGGACCTCTGAAACACTATACCCAGCAGGGTATTGAAATAGATGCTGAGACTCATAGACAAATTTGGGTACAGTGCAGGGAATCTTATAAAAGAAGGGAGAGACAGAAAGACCTGGAAGGGTCTGGAACTCTACAAGGAGAACAACAGACAATAAAATTCTAGGCCCAGGGGTCTTTTCTGAGACTAATACTCTAACCAAGGACTAACAGCAAGCTTTACCAGAAGATAAACCAATAGTAAATATTAATCGTCTCCTACAACACATTCTTGGAGATAACCTAGAACCCCTGCACAGAGATAGCCCATGGAAGCTCAGTGGTCAAGTGGTTTCCCTGTAAGGGGAACAGGGGCTGTCTCTGACATGAACTCAGTGGCTGGCTCTTTGATCACCTCCTCCTGAGGCATGAGCAAACTTACCAGGCCACAGAGGAAGATTATGAAAGACAGTCCTGATGATACCTCATAGGTTAGGTTCAGATGGAAAGGGAGAAGGTCCTCCCCTATCAGTGAACTGGGGAAGGGGCTTGGGAAGAGATGAGGGAAGGAGGAAGGGTGGGATTGGGTGGGGAAGAGAGTGGGGTTTCAGCTGGGATACAAAGTGAATAAACTGTAATTAAAAATATATTAAAAAATTACTCTTGGAATCTTAAAAACAGCGTTAAAAAGAATGTAAGTCTCTTTAGTAGATAAAAATTAGTGAGAAAGTCTGTTTATGAGACTGGGATGCCTATTCCAAAGAAAAGAAAGTGAGGTTGGTGAGAAACCTTAGTGCTTAAGGATGCATGAGAGAGAGAAACAGAGACAGACAGAAACAGAGAGAGAAAGAGAGAGTTGTTCACTGAAGCTATTGTATGATGCATAAAGATATTTGGAAGCCTGCTGTCCTGTACTATTATCATGCATTCACTAAGAAATGTGATAACTTCATCTTTCCACTTGTTGCAATTTCTGAACTTGAAGGGGTTGCTCTATTTTTTACACAGATAACCGGAGAGCTGTGACTAATTTCAGTGTATACCCATTGGACTCATTTTCCCCTCACATAGTAATTGAAAAAAAGACCCAAATGCTGATATATTTCACAGTGACTAGCAGTGTTGTACTCACAAGCATTTTTTTCCTTAATTAGGAAAAATTTAAGACTGAAACTTTAACAGCATTTTTGCTTGTGTCTGTGGTCAAATGCAGTTGTCTCCTTTGGATCACCCCTCTTTTTTGTTGAGTACTTCACTCACAGTCTTTCCTGCTTCATTATTTCAGTTCCTCTAAATGTTTTTCTCTCAAAGAGCATTTTAGTTTAATTTCCTAACATAACATCCTTCATGCCAGCCAATTCTTCCCTGGCTGGACAAAGAAATAAGTGCTTAGGATTCCCATAGAGGTATTTTAGAAGAGTCATTGTTAATGGCTCACATTACAAGTTCAATTTCACTAGAATCAGCTGCAAAGATAGTCTTGACTTTTATTTTGTAAACGACTATTACTCTATTACCTATATAATAGGTGAAGATAGAACGAGTCCTTGGGCAAAGGCCTATTTCTTGACCTGAGTTCCTCCAGGATCCTTGTAGGACTCCACAGAAACACAGCTGTTCTTTTTTTGTAAATTTTAAGAATGACTTTGGGAAAAGTTTAATTTTATGAAAATTTACCACTGTCTCCCAATGCAAAAGAATGAGTATCAAAGCCAGTATCTCTTCTCATATCATGAGCTCCCCTTCAGTGACATACTAAGGACAAAGTCATAGAGGAGATGAGAACCACATCCGGTACATTACTAATGCATCTCATCTTGTTCAGGGAAAAATCTACTATACTCAAGATACTAGTCTCATCTACATTTTATAAAATATGAGTGTGTGTATGATATGTTGCATATGTTTATGTGTGTGACTGTGGAGATCAAAGGAAAACCTTGGGTGTCATTTCTTGCCTTCCACCATGTTTGAGAGAGTGTTCTATCATTCACTGGCCTACCAACCTGTGTGCTTCTGGTAACTCTTGCCTCTGCTTTCCATCTCAGTGGAGCAGATGACAGGCAATACTGCCATACTTTGTTCTGTGTTTATTCTGGGGATCCCAACTCAGGTCTTCATAAGTACTTCATGCACTGTGCCACCTTCCCAGCCTGCATCTACCTTCAAATCATTCAAAACTATATGCCGCTATTTATATTGGACCTTTATGGCTCATCTTTCTTTGTTTCTTGGTATAGTAGTTTGTAAGTTTATCAAGACCTCAAGAAAACATTTATCTTACTAGATTTTTTTTTCTTTAAAAAACTGTTAGCTGAAAAAATTACCTTAAGTATGATTTTGCTTCAAGTTACTTTCCTAATCTCTATTGGCTATGCACATAATACAAATGAATCATTCGCTAAAAACAGAAGAACTAAGAGGAAATCAGGCATAGCCTTTTAAAGTCTGTGCACATAAAATAATGAACATGGTTTTGTATTTTGGAAAACTGAAAAATTTAGACAAAATAGAACTGGGAAGACTAAAAGGAAGTGAGCCTGACTTCCGGAATAAATATTCCCTATGAGGAATGACAGGGCTAGACGTTAGATATATTATTCTCACTTCAGCATGTATTCCTGCATATATGTTGAGAGGCATAAAGGCTCTTTCAAACATATAACAGTACATTCATACCGAAGTTTCCAAGTAGATGCCTGAGAAGAGTATGTGATGCCCGGGAAAATGGTAATAAAAGAGTTCTTAAAATTCACATTTTAAAGAAATGTTGTAAAGTGCAATGTTATTTCAATTTTCATTTCTGCATAAAGAGAAATGACTTTGAAAGATACAAAATGAACACCAAGATTCTTTCTTAAGAAAGAGATAGGGGACTGGAGAAAAGGCTTAGTAGTTAAGAGCATTTGCTACTGTTGTAGAAGACCTGGGTTTTATTCCCAGCACCCACATGGAGGTGCAGAACTGTCTATAAGTCCATTTACAAAGGATATGATGTCTTCTTTTAACATTCTCAGGCACCAGGCACAGGTGTGATGCACAGACATGCATACAAGCAAAACACTCATGCATATAAAATAAAAGTAAATATATTTTAAAGAAGAGGAAGAGAGGGAGAATCTGGTTATGACTAATTAGTGTTTGAAATTCTATAAGGATGATTCTGATATTACAAATATACTTAAAATAGATAATATAATGGGAAGGAAAGAAGACTAAAATGTCATACCATCAAGAATAGAGTGTGGGTTTATTTCCTGGATTAGTAGAGAGGACATTTATTCTGACTCTCAGAATTTGAAAATAGAAGCTAAATGGGGTCATTCAGTGCCAGAAGATCAGAGTTAGAAACTCTTTGTACTGCTCTGAGTCACTGACACCAGACAAATAGAATGGGACTTCATTGTACATTTTACTATGGCTTAAAAAATCTGCAAAACAAAAATCTTTAAACATAAAACCAATAAAACAGTACTGGTATTTCCTAAAACAAAATTATTAAGCATCATAAAACAAGGAGAAAATATTACATCGTACATACATCTAGGTGCAAACAGAAGTCACATGTATTTATATATTTCCAATTTTTATTTTACCTGTATCACTACTGTTTCCTATCTTACCAGAGGTAGTCAAGATCCTAGGAGACTCTACTGTCACTCACGCAGGTATTGATCACCACTGACCATGTGTGGGTGTGATTTAAAGAAGTGGAGATTCACAGTTTGGAAGGAAACATTTCTGGGTGCAGTAGGAGAGACTCCTACGTTGAAAGAAAGGAAGGGAGAAAACCATCTGCCAATGCTGATTACTGTAGCGCAGATGAGCAGAGGCACAGGAAACAAATGAAGGATCAATCGGGACAAGCTCTCTTTCTCCAGGAAGTAAAAGGTGAAGGAGGAAAGAGGTTAAATACCAGACACGAAGCTGAAGCAGACACCTTCTGTGATTTCTCATGGTTCCCATGTATAATTCATAGACAGTCTGAAAATCTGCAGTAATCTTGGATGGTCATTAAAAACCCAATTTCTTGGGCCCATTGACCAGGACTTTACTCAAAGGATCTGAGGAGTTTCTGCACACACACCTTTAGAAGTTCTTGACAAATACATGTAAGAAATGCTTCTGGAAAGTAAATTGAGTTCTTAAAATAGTGTCATTTTTAAGATCAAACGACTGTTGGGGTTTTGAACATACTTTTTGTTAAGTCACTAGAAAGAAATCTCTCAGGCTGTAGGCATAGAAAGTGAGACATAGAGGGTGTGCTTAGCAATCATTTGTTTTGTGGGTGTTACTTGCAGGTTGGGGTCACCTTCACTGTTTCTATGCCCTGTAACAAAAAAGCCTCTGTCAGCGAGTCTCACTATGAGTGGCTGAAGTAATATGAAAACTGTGTAGCATAACAGCATCATGTCTGCCATTTCTGTTTGGTAACAAATAACTAAAAGAATAAATTTCATGTTTTTGTGTGTCTTGCATTGTCAGAGACATAGGTTCCTGTATGCGTAGCAAATAACACCAGCCACCATGCTCGAGACACAGAGAATCGTACCCATTCATAATTCAGAGCCTTGCCCCCCCAAAAAATCTTTAACTCTTCTCTCCTTCTTTAATCTTTTGACTTTTGGTTCTGAAAGTGATTTGTTGGAAGGGCTGTCTTCAAAGAAAAGAGGAAAAAGAAATTAAACATCCAACAATTTCTCTTCTAGGTCATGTTGTCTGCCAAGTGGCTGATCTTTCTTTTTGTTTCACTACAGGTTATATTTAAAGGGTCACACAGGGACAGCAGGCAAACAGAGCAGCCTGATCTTACATGGTGCTGATTTCAGCACGAAGGATGCTGATAATGACAACTGTATGTGCAAATGCGCTCTCATGCTAACAGGAGGTAGGTCTCAGCAGGCTTTCCCTAAGCTGGAATGCATTGTTTTGAGGTTTGGGGTTTCTTATCACTGAGAAAAAGGGTATGATCTGGTCATGAAACTGAAGAGCAAGTCCCTAGAGATCATTTAGCTTGGCACAAGGATTTATCCTGTTCTTGAGCAGGACATTGCTGGCATACTTCAAACCTTGCCCCCTCCTCCCACCCATTCATTTGTGATGGGACTGTCCTAAGCTTCACTGTGAGTGAACTCACTTGGCTGCTTGATATAGCAGGCATTATACCTTTAAGATAATCTGTAGTTTGCTCTTAGTGGTATATAAACTGTTACTTCTTACCAAATGCTTTACAATTATGCACTCAGGCTTATTGATGAAGCTTTCACATTGAATAAGGACAGAAAGGAGATATGTACTTAAACCAAAAATTATATATTCAAACCAGTTTCACCAGGGTTTTGAAAAATATTTTAGCTGTTATAGGAGACACCATTAAATAGCATTGTTTTGCGATAGAAGAAAGTCAATACTTTTTGTACAATTTCAAGTCTTTTCCACCATTTTGAGTATGTCAGAGAAGATGCAACTTTCTACTAAAATAGCTGTAACATTTTCCATACTTGACACTCATTTTCTTGTTCAAGAAGGAACAGAAATTTTCCTCAACTCTCAGAGTCTGGTAGGCAAAATGGCTCCTTCTAGATTCAGATATGTTCTCTGTCTTATGTTTTCTTTTACTGTTCCATTATAACAACTTGTGCTGATTTCTCCTCTAGAGTAATGCTATAAACTTTGCATGATAAAATGCCTTCGTGCTTACCTGATTGTTGCTTATATAAAACATGAACTATTAAAATGCCATAAGCATATAAAAAAGTCTTCCAGAAGTTGTTCCAATGATTGACTGAAATGCAGAAAACACCAACCTACAAATCAGTGATGTAGAACATGAAAAGTGCAAGTTCTCCCAGGAAAGGGGTTAGCCAAACAAAACTGAAAACCTCTATGTTAATGACTCTTTTTTCCCTCAAATGTTTAATTCCTCCTCTTAATAAAAGAGTGCATATCCTTTCCATCAACCATTCTAACATTCTTACTGTGTTACACTAGAAAAAACTTTGCCATGTTAGTAGGGAGAGAAACTACCCTTCCTCTATTGTGATGCATAGGAACTCAGTGGAAAATGTGGTGCATGGTGAATTAATGTAAGTTTTAATCCTTTAAATTGCTCTCAAATTTTAAATCCAGTAAAATGAAACTTTAAGTTAGCATTTCTGTCACCCATTATGAAAGCACAGAAAATGTGAAGGTTTTAAAGTAATCTTTCCATGAAGAGGCCATTGTGACTATTCTCCTGCCTTCCTAATACTATCATATCACAGCCTTAAAGCCTAAAACCCTTAAAGCCATACAATGACATTATTTCAGTACGATATAAGTGTATTACTAAAGATCACATGATATGAATCTGCCTTTATCATATTCACTATCTTACTTCAGCTCTGAATATGTCACTTGGGCATCATAATTCAACCTCATCAAGCATATACAAGTTGCCTACAAGTAACTCTATTATCTATACCCAAGGAACAGCATTATTAATCTCAGAATTATTTTAAAATGGTAGCCAAAGATGTGACTTTTTTCAATCTTCTGGTTCTATAAATAAAATTATTGGCAGCTTTATACAAAGACTTAAATGTTCAAGTTCCATGCCTGTTTTGAGTGTTGAGATATACTTCATATTCTCTATGTGCATTTTGACAGATATATTTTCTAGTAAATACAGATCTTGAACAGCTAACAGTAAGATCTCTCAAATGTGTCCTTAGAAAGGCATCCTCAGTGTTCATGTGTTCATGTTCCTGTCAGAAAAATGCAAACAAGGAGCAAAGAGGGAACTACACTTTCTTTGTTGTTTAGAAACCACCACTGCTCAGAGTTAGGATCTTACTTCTGCTTCATGATTGAACTCTGTCAGATTATTTCATCCATAATTACTCTTGGACTTGCTTCTTACTTGCTAGTAAACACATACGTTGGGAAGAGAAATTTTCCACTTATTTCTTGGGCTGGACTAGACTAGGTAAATGTGTTTTTGTAATAAACATCATTACCCTATCAAATATCCTTCTGAAGAAATTCAGGTCTTGTAAAGCCATTCCCACTGAAAAGCTAAGCTGTGGAATTTAGAGAGCTGAGAACTAGAAGTCATAGGCATGGCTATCAATGGCTGTCCAAGTCACTGGAGCATGGCCTGGAACGTACATCCTACAGAGCTACTACTCACCACTGTCTGTTTCCCATCAACTTTTCCCTTAGAAATTAGCCATTTCACTGTCTAATGACTTTTCCTTTCCTTTTCTTTATAAATCTTGTTTGAGCTCACCACTCCTACATGATAGTGTCTTTTTTAAGCAATGAGAGTCTTCATAGTTTGAAAGTAAGAACTTGTGGAGTTTGCCATCTGCTAAAACTTTCCAAGGCTGAAGTAAGATGCACTGCTCACTTGCTGCCCTGGAGGGTTTTCTTAAGAACATGGAAGGGTTTGAGTTGAAGGTGGTGGTGCCATTGGTACCCTCCTCTGTTAACGACTGGAATCAAAAATGAGCTTAACTGAAAGCACATGGTATTGCAGACAGATGCAAAACAAAGCATTTCCTTCTTTCCTAATCTCCTTAATTCTTTTTTTCAACCTAAAATATACTTAATGAGTACATTTTATGACAGCGAGCTACTGCTAGAGTAAAGAACTGAACAGGTTAGAGCTCATTTCGTTAAAAAAAAAAGATTGTCAGAAAAATAATGCACAAAGAATGGAACAATTTTGAACCATAACAGTTTTATAGATAAAATATAAAATATATTTATGATAGAATTATAAGGAACAAAAAGAAAACTTTAGATGGAGCATCCAGGAGTCAGTTAGAGTGAAATGCTGGGAAGGTGGTGCCTTCCGCACTATGGACATCTGCAGGAACTGAAGAGAAGGCGACTTATTTTAAAGAAATTACTTATGATCTTTCTGTAGTGTGGGTATGCTAAAAAATGGTCTCAACCTTTCTTTGACCCAAAATTTACCATGTCTACAAGATGTGCAGAGATAAAGATAGAGCAGGTACAGCCGAGACTGAGAGAATGCCCA